TGCCTTTCCGGCCTGAGCCACAGACGGTAAAAGTGATGGAGGCGGCTGCAGACCTCTCTGGGACTCTCGGTTTCCTGGTAGCAAAACTCCTTGAAGGGCAGGCATTGAGCATCCAGGTGGGCATTTCCCCCACCTAGGGTCTTCTGCCCTGTTTTCTCCCACAATGCCCCGCTGCTTCCAGCCTGGGTGGCCCGAGGGTCCTTCCCTGACGCCTCGTTGCCCGGGGAGATTCCTGGCACCTCCATTTTCTTTCTGTGCTCAGAAAGGGCCCTCAAATACCTTCATGCATGAAAGGTTCTTTTCATTCCCAAGGCAAGGAGGATGCAAGGGTGTTACTGGCTGGCTTTACAAGTTCCAAACTGCTTTCTCTGGGAAATACTTCACAGGCGAAAGGCTTGAGCTGCTACCTGAAAGGGGGGAAAAACAAGGAAAACACCGAGAGTTCAGAAAGAGCCATGGAATCATAATACAGTGGTGCCTCGGGTTACAGACACTTCAGGTTACAGATGCTTCAGGTTACAGACTCCGCTAACCCAGAAATAGTACCTCGGGTTAAGAACTTTGCTTCAGGATGAGAACAGAAATCGTGCTCTGGCAGCGCGGCAGCAGCAGGAGGCCCCATTAGCTAAAGTGGTGCTTCAGATTAAGAACAGTTTCAGGTTAAGAACAGACCTCCAGAACGAATTAAGTTCTTTACCAGAGGTACCACTGTAATCATAATTTATTTATACTGCACCCATCTGGCTGGGTTTTCCCAGCCACTCTGGGTGGCTCCCAACAGAATATTAAAAATGGAATAAAAATCAAACATTAATAACTTCCCTAAACAGGGCTGCCTTCAGATGTCTTCTAAAAGTCAGATACAGTGGTACCTCGGGTTAAGAACTTAATTCGTTCTGGAGGGCTGTTCTTAACCTGAAACTGTTCTTTTTTATTTTTTTTAAATGATATTTATTGGAGTTTCACATGAAAAGAGACACATCAATAATAAAAAAGAAAAAAATTAAAAATAAAAGAAAAATACACAATACAAAATACAAAAAGAAAAAGAAAAACAGTTAAAAACAATTCCATCTTTTCATCACTACTTTTAAATTTACTTATTTCCTGGACCTCCTCATACCTCCCTCTTTTGTATTCCAATTCAGTTTGTTTGTCCAGCAATTCCTTTCCCTCCTTTTTAATCCCAATCCTTAATCTTAATATAATATAACATTAAATTTTTACCTATTAAAAGCCAATTTTCCATTCTTTTAACCTTTTTAATCCTAATCCTTAATCTTGATCTATATATAACTTTAAAGCCTGTACAGCTAGAAGCCACTTAATTTCAATCCATCATCACTCTAACATTCTTTAATTTTGCAATATTTCTGTAAATAATCTTTAAATTTCTTCCAATCTTCTTCCACCGACTCTTCTCCCTGGTCACGGATTCTGCCAGTCATTTCCGCCAATTCCATATAGTCCATCAATTTCATCTGCCATTCTTCCAGTGTGGGTAGCTCTTGTGTCTTCCAATACTTTGCGATGAGTATTCTTGCTGCTGTTGTTGCATACATAAAGAAAGTTCTATCCTTTTTTTAACACCGATTGGCCGACTATGCCCAGGAGAAGGCCTCTGGTTTCTTCAAGAAGGTATATTTAAATACCTTTTTTAATTCATTATATATCATCTCCCAGAAAGCCTTAATCTTTGGGCACGTCCACCAAAGGTGAAAAAATGTACCTTCAGTTTCTTTACATTTCCAACATTTATTATCAGGCAAATGGTAGATTTTTGCAAGCTTGACTGGGGTTATGTACCACCTGTATATCATTTTCATAATATTTTCTCTTAAGGCATTACATGCCGTAAATTTCATACCTGTGGTCCACAACTGTTCCCAGTCAGCAAACATAATGTTATGTCCAACATCTTGTGCCCATTTAATCATAGCAGATTTCACCGTTTCATCCTGAGTGTTCCATTTCAGCAGCAAGTTATACATTCTTGACAAATTCTTAGTTTTGGGTTCTAACAGTTCTGTTTCTAATTTTGATTTTTCCACCTGGAAGCCAATTTTCTTGTCCAAATTGTATGCCTCCATTATCTGATAATAATGAAGCCAGTCTCGCACTTTGTTTTTTAATTTTTCAAAACTCTGCAATTTCAATCTCCATCTTGTTCCAAAATTTCCCAATATTTCGGCCATTTGACCTCCATATTGAGCTTTTTCAAGGCTTTCGCTTCCATTGGTGACAACCACCTTTGAGTTTTGTTTTCCAATAAATCCTTATATCTTATCCAAACATTAAACAGTGCTTTCCTGACAATGTGATTTTTAAATGCTTTATGTGCTTTGACCTTATCATACCACAGATATGCATGCCATCCAAATACATTGTTAAAACCTTCTAGATCCAAAATGTCAGTGTTTTCAAGAAGCAGCCATTCTTTCAACCAGCAAAAAGCTGCTGATTCATAATAAAGTTTAAGGTCTGGTAGGGCAAATCCACCTCTTTCCTTTGCATCTGTTAGTATTTTAAATTTTATTCTGGGCTTCTTGCCCTGCCAGACAAATCTGGAAATATCTCTCTGCCACCTCTTGAAACAGTCCATTTTGTCCACAATTTGCAGTGTTTGAAACAAAAACAACATTCTAGGCAATACATTCATTTTTATCGCAGCAATACGGCCCAGCAGTGAAAGCTTCAAATTTGACCAAATTTCTAAATCTTTTTTCACTTCAGCCCAACATTTTTCATAGTTATCTTTAAATAAATTCCCATTTTTTGCTGTCATGTTAATCCCCAGGTATTTAACTTTCTTAACCACTGTTAAACCTGTCACATTCTGAAACCTCTCTCTCTCCATTGGTGTTAGATTTTTCTCTAAAACCTTAGTTTTTAACTTGTTCAATTTAAATCCTGCAACCTGACCAAATTCTTGAATCAGTTCTAAAACCCTTTTGGTACTAGATTCTGGCTCCCTGAAACTGTTCTTAACCTGAGGTACCACTTTAGCTAATGGAGCCTCCTGCTGCTGCTGCCGCCGCCACAAAATTCTTAACCTGAAGCACTATTTCTGGGTTAGCGGAGTCTGTAACTGGAAGCGTCTGCAACCTGAAGCGTCTGTAACCCGAAGTACCACTGTAGTTGTTTATTTCCTTGACATCTGATGGGAGGGCGTTCCACAGGGCAGGTGCCACCACCAAGAAGGCCCTCTGCCTGTGTCCTCCTCAGTTAGAAATATTCCCTTCGTTGTTATTGTCTGATGTAGCTGTTAATAGCTAAAATTTGACAAGGATGGCAAGAAATGAACACAAGAGGATTCCTGACCAAAGGGGTCTAATTTAGTCCAGCATTCTGTTCTCACAGAGTCCAACCAAAGGGAAGATCTTAGGCAGGATTCAAGCACCAAACCTGAAAGAACTAAATGGGGAATCAGGAAAGGTTGGACTGAAGGCAGCGAAGGCTAAAGTAATGGTTGAAGAAGAGAACGATATATACAATTAGAAAATAACGAAACAGAGCAAGTCAAAGGATACGTCAATTTAGGACAAAGAACAGGGAAGAGAAAATCAACCAGAGGAGGAATAAAACAATTGGGGGAGTCCTTTGCAAAAACTCAGATCATGACGAAAAGAAAAACAACAACACTTCATTAGACTTGAAAGCTGAAGTGTCCAATGCATGCATATAATCTATTTATCAGTCATTAATTTATTTCAGCAGCAAGGCCCACACGGGTGCAGAAAGCAAACAGCAGAGAACCATGGAGAGAACTCGAAGAGGCGTCTATCCGAAGACAGATGTGAGATGCAGAAGAGGAAAGACTATTTCTTTAAGACATCCGGCCTGATGAGGAGTCCTGTGTAACTCCAAAGCTCTGCAAAGTCGAAGGAGGGCGTTGTTTCCCTGGACCTGGTTCCACCAGTCTGCTCTCCCTGCCAGAGTGCAGGCCTGACACACTATAGACAGCAACCCATTTATCCTGAGCCCAGAGCACCAGGGTGCATTGAACTCAGAATTGCACACACTGACTGGCAACAGTGACTCTCCTGGGTTTCAGACTCAGGGCTCCCTCTTCCAGCCCTACCTAGAAAGGTCACCAGGGATTGAACGTGGGAACCTTCTGCACGCCAAGCAGGCGATCTCCCCCACTTCAGCCAGGGCCCCCCTTCCTTATGACGCCAGCACTGCAGAGGGTTAGACTGGATGACCCCGCGAGGTCCCTTCCAACGCTGCAAGTCTGTGATCCTAACTGCATCGCAAGGACCAAGCGGCTCAACAGTACATATGTGGTGGAGGTGTGAGGAAATTAAGAAATTTTGGATAGTAGTACACGAAGAACTAATGAAGATGTTGAAAATATCAATAACAAAGAAACCAGAGTCATATCTCCTTGGATTGATAGGTGATGAGATACCCCCCGGGGGGGGGGGGAGAATTTTTCTATATGCAAGTACAGCTGTTAGAATAGTGACTGCTGATAGGTGGAAGTCACAAACTATACCCGCAAAGGAGGAATGGATTTGTAAACTAAATGTATATTTAATTTTGGCAAAATTAACTGCTATAATAAGAAATCAGTCGAATCAAAAATTTAAAAAAGGAGTGGAAATGTTTTGATAAATATATGGCAAAATCTTGCTCAAAAAAAGATATGCTAATATGCCTAGATTAAAATGTGAAGTACTGGATGGAAGAAAAATTGGTAAGGAAAGATAATAAGATTATGTAGATGATTTGAGAAGGTTGTAGAATGCAAAGGTTACTGTAAATTGTATAATGTGGGGGAAATCGAGTGGGGGCGGAGGGAAGTGGGAGGAAGGAGAAAAGAATAATATGATGGATGGAGGAAATAGAAATGTAAATGTATGGGGAGGAAATGGTCTTGGCTTTGGTACATCTGTATTGTAATGTAATATGTGAAAACCGTCTTTGGGCTCCGAAAGAGGGGATCTCTCCTCGTCTCTTTGATCAAAAAAGCCCCAGGTGCGTTTTGCAGCCGCGGCGGACCTTAGCTAGGCGGGGGGGGGGGGGGGGTGGCAGCAGGCAGAGAAAGAGGAGGGCGGACTTCTGCACAGCAAGATTCCTGGGATGCACCCCCCTCCTCCCATCCAGACCCCCCACCACAAGACCTCCACCCCACACTCACCCAGGAGCGCAAACCCTCCTCACTTTCCCAAACGATGCCTGGGAGCGGAGGGGGTGCGAGCAGGAAGTGATCTGCAGAGGGAGATCCTTTCAAGGGGGGGGCTTCAACCCCGCCCCCCCCAAAGTCGCAAGGGAAGGAACAGAAGGAGAGCCCCGCGCCAGAGAGCAGCGGCGCCCCTATGCGCCCCCAGCTGCAAAGTCCTCTTGCAGGCGCGGCTTTTGGAAAGGGATCCCGGGGGTGGGTGGGGGGCGATGGGGAGGGAGGCCCTCTCGGTGTGGGTCCGCGGCGAGGAAGGGGTTAAAGCGAGCGAGGCTGGGTTCCTGGAGAGGCGTGCAAGGAGGAGGGGAGGGTGGCACCGGAGGAAGGGAGGGGGCGCGCAGAGCATCAAACGAGCCTGGGATCTCCTCACCCCCCCGCAAAAAATAAAAAAAATCCAAAAAATAATCAGGGCGCTATTGCAGTAGGCAGCTGCTGACTCACCTTGCGGGCACGGAAGGGTTAACCCGAGCCCTGAGGTCAAGTTTCCCAAGTGGGCGGGGCTTAGCAGGCTCCCTCCCTCTTCTGCCTTGTAGGAAGAAGGAGGCAAAGAAGCAGAAGCAGGGAATGAAATCTCTCCGAAGGGAGATCATTCTCCTGCCAAGTTCCTTTCTAAGTCCTTTTTCCTTCTTCGCTCTTTTTTTTTTTTTTTACTGCCTTGTTCGCTGTAGCTCCTGGAACTCTTGTGAGTAGAAATACAATCTCCGCTGGTTTGTGGGAGTTTTAATGGTCCAAGTTTTAATGGTCTGCGTTGGGCTTAACTCTGCCAAGAGAGAGAGGGAAGAATCACTTTTGGGACTTACCTCTCTCTCCAACACCCCCTGCTGTCTCTTCCTCCAAGGGGGGAGGAGGGGGGGTGCAAATGCAACTGAGGTTGGGGAGAGAAAACCTAAGTGGGCTTCTTGGCTGCACAGCCACCTCCTCAAAGGTCACCGGGCCCTGAAAGACAAAGAAATCAGGGTTGTCCTGGCGGATTACGTAAGAGTAATAATTTTTGAAGAGATATTGAAAGGTTCTGTTGCAGGGCCTAGAACTTCCTTGTTGAAATGCAAAGCCTTTGAAGTGAGCAAGTGGGAGTCAGCAATAATTCGGAGTATCAGTTGCTGGAAATTACAGGAGAGGAAAGGGCTCCTGTGCTCAGATCCTGCTTTCAAGATCCCCACAGGAATCTTGTTGGCCACTGGCCTGATCATCAGACTCTTCTTGGCTTCTTAATCCTGGCCCAGTATACCATTCTAGACACTGAGGTCTAAGGGCCTTCTGGTAGTTCCCTCACTGGAGAAGTGAGGTTGTAGGGAACCAGGCAGAGGGCCTTCTTGGTAGTGGTGCCCGCCTTGTGGAATGCCCTCCCACCAGATGCCAAGGAAATGAACAACCATCTGATTTTTAGAAGGCATCTGAAGGCAGCCCTGTTTAGGGAAGTTTTTCAGGATTGATGTTTTATTGTGTTTTTAGTATTCTGTTGGGAGCTGCCCAGAGTTGGGGAAATCCAGCCAGATGGGTGGGGTATAAATAGTAAATTCTTCTTCTTCCTCCTCTTCTTCGTCTCCCATGTCCAAGCCCAACACTCTAACCACTACACCACACTGCCTCCACTGCTCCCCCATGTCTGCTTATAAGTCTCTGCCGTCTTTTACAGGTCCCAGCCGGGGTCACCCTTCACTCCTAGCAAAGCATCTTTCCCTTAGGCGTGTGCAAGAGGGGGGGCTTGCAAACTTTGCCGGACATCGACACCCTCCCCTCCAACGCCAATCAAATTCCGGCAGCCTTTGGTTTGGGAACAAAATTCTCCGCAGAGCAAGGAAATCCTTGGATTCCTTCAGGGAACTTTGGGAAATGGAAAAGCCAGACTCAGCAGCTCCCTGGGGAGGAAAGGACCCCCACGTCACCCAGACTGGGAGCACTGGGGAAGTCTGGGAAAGGAACGTGCAGCAGATCTTGGGCGAGGGCAATGCCAGCTCTGACATCCAGCGCCAACATTTCCGGGCGTTTTGCTACCAGGAGGCCGAGGGCCCCCGCGAGGTCTGCAGCCGCCTCCACCACCTCTACCGCCAGTGGCTGAAGCCAGAAAAGCACACCAAGGCCCAGATGCTGGACCTGGTGGTCTTGGAGCAGTTCCTGACTATCCTCCCCCCGGAGATGGAGAGCTGGGTCAGGGAGTGCGGAGCGGAGACCAGCTCCCAGGCGGTGGCCCTGGCAGAAGGCTTCCTCCTGAGCCAGGTGGAAGAGAAGAGGCAGGAAGAAAAGGAGCAGGTGAGAGCGCTTTCTTTAAATCGTACCTACGGGACCGCCTCTCCTGGTATGTCCCACAGAGGACCTTACGGTCTTCAAACAAAAACATCTTGGAGGTCCCAGGCCACAGGGAGGTGAGGCTGGCCTCAACCAGAGCCAGGGCTTTTTCGGCCGTGGCCCCGATATGGTGGAACTCTCTGTCACAAGAGACTAGGGACATCTTTCCGCCGGGCCTGCAAGACAGAGCTGTTCCACCAGGCCTTTGGCCAGGGCACAGCCCTGTAATCTTCACAGAACTCTAGCCCAATGGTTGATTCTGAATTGATTTTAGAATGAATTGATTTTTGAACGTATCTCAATTAATTGATTGTGATTTTATGTTAACTGTGTTACTTTTACAGTTTTAGCTGCTCTGAGCCCGGCTTCAGCTGGGGAGGGTGGGATATAAATAAATTTTATTTTTATTATTATTGTTGTTGTTGTTATTATTATTATTATTATTATTATGGTAGTTGGGAAGGAGCCAAATAGCAGGGTGGATAAAAATCAATGATAAAAAAATCGGATTTTTTCATTTAAATCGGATTTTCAAATTTAAATCCCTTTGGAGTAAAAATATTTCTAAAGATAGTTTTCTATTTAAGTTACATTATAGTCCAAAGGAAATGAAGATTTGTTTTAAGTTTTTCATGCTAAAACTCAGTATGGTTGTTTTTTTTAATTGTTTAACCACATCAGTTAACAAACATGCCATAATGTTATTGTTTTAGTTAAATAGTTTAGTTAAATAAATGGTTTAAATTGTTATTAAGTGCAGCAGAAAAGTTGTCCAAATATAAACAGCTAACTTATTGAACCTCACAATAATTTCATAACCATCTGTCCATGTATTTCTAATAGTATAACCAAATCAGTAATTTTTAATGTAACTGTAAAAACTACTCTGAAAATTTATTATTCCAAATACGAAACCTTCATCTGTTTGTAAATATTAAGATTATACCAGCAAGAAAGGGTCTTTCTGTAAAAAAAAATTAAAATTAAATCAAGTCATACAGACTAGTGATTTAAATCCATTTTATTTAAATCAAATCCACCCTGCCAAAGAGTCATCAGGCATAGGCAAACTCGGCCCTCCAGATGTTTTTGGCCTACAACTCCCATCATCCCTAGCTAACAGGACCAGTGGTCAGGGATGATGGGAATTGTAGTCCCAAAACATCTGGAGGGCCAAGTTTGGGGATGCCCAATCTAGTCCAACCTCCTGGAATTCCTCCCCCCCATTGAATTAATTGTAAGAGCTAAACTGCCCAAGGGGAGGCTAGAATGTGCAAATGTTTGGTGTGTCCCACCCCCGTGATGAAATCAGGGCGCCTCTTCCTAATCCCTTTCCCGGCGTGGGGATCCCCATTTTTATTTCAGATCCAGAGGCTGAAAAATGGGGGCCTTCCATTTTACGACACAGAGAAGGTCCGGCCGGCCAGCAGGAGGAGGCAGCTGTTCTGGAGAGCCATTCCAGAGGGTAGTGGAACGGATGCTTCTCCTTCGCTGGGTAAGGAGGAATTGGGAGTGGGTTTTTGGTTTGATCACGGTCTCGGGGGTGGGTGGTGGTTTTATATGCCCAAACCATCTTGCCTCCATGACTAACCGGGGAATTCTGCTCCAGATGAAGGCTGTAGGATGGATGGCGGTTGAGGATGAATCCTGACAAGACAGAAGTACTGTTTTTGGGGGACAAGGGGCGGGCTGGTGTGGAGGTCTCCCTGGTCCTGAATGGGGTAACTGTGCCCCTGAAGCACCAGGTGTGCAGCCTGGGAGTCATTCTGGACTCACAGCTGTCTATGGAGGCGCAGGTCAATTCTGTGTCCAGGGCAACTGTTTACCAGCTCCAGCTGGTACGCAGGCTGAGACCCTCCCTGCCCGCAGACTGTCTCGCCAGAGTGCATGCTCTGGTTATCTCTCACTTGGACTACTGCAATGCGCTCTACGTGGGGCTACCTTTGAAGGTGACCCGGAAACTACAACTAATCCAGAATGAGGCAGCTTGACTGGTGACTGGGAGCGGCCACCGAGACAATATAATACCGGTCTTGAAAGACCTACACTGGCTCCCGGTAAGCTTCCAAGCACAATTCAAAGTGTTGGTGCTGAGCTTTAAAGCCCTAAATGGCCCCGGCCCAGTATACCCAAAGGGGCGTCTCCATCCCCATTGTTCTGCCCGGACACTGAGGTCCAGCGCCGAGGGTCTTCTGGCAGTTCCCTTCCTGCAGGAACCAGGCAGAGGGCCTTCTTGGTAGTGGCACCCGCCATGTGGAATGCCCTCCCACCAGATGTCAAAGAGAAAAACAACTACCAGACTTTTAGAAGACATCTGAAGGCAGCCCTGTTTAGGGAAGCTTTTAATGTTTAATAGGTTGTTGTATTTTAATATTCTGTTGTAAGCTGCCCAGAGTGGCTGGGGATGGGTGGGGTATAAATAATAAATAATTGTTGTTGTTGTTGTTGTTGTTGTTGTTGTTGTTGTTGTTACTTCTGAACCGTCTTCAAAGGTAGCTCCACCTAATTTAATCTAACTGATACAGCCATGGCTGCAGCTTGAACATTGATAGCAATGAACTGGAAAGGGGAAAATGTTCCAACCATAACGGACTGGCAAAATAAATTACAGGAATATGTAGAAATGGTGCAACTGATTAATAGCTTGAGAGGCAACACAAGACAAGTATTCGTACAAAAATGGGATAAATATAAGAAATATTTACGAAATTGTAACAGTGGTATGTCTATGGCAGTATTTGATTGACCCTTTTATAGTGAAACATATGAGAAATAAGTCAAAAGGTACTAACTGTTGTAAGAATGTATTAGAAGGAATATAAAGAATCATGATAGGTATATTCATTATAGAATAAGGCTATATGCCGGGAAATGATAGGAAGTCATTTTTTCTTTTTTTCTGGTTTTTTCTTTCTTTAATTCATGTTAATAAATAGATAAGACAACAAAAGATAGTAAAAATATGAATCAGTTTAATTGATGTAAGTAACTATAGGAGTGCTCTGATGGTGTTTCCTGCTTGGCAGGGGGTTGGACTCGATGGCCCTTGTGGTCTCTTCCAACTCTATGATTCTATGATTCTAAACAAAATACTACTTGTATATGGTTTTTGCTTACACAGATTATATATATGTTTACTCCAGAAGATGTACAATACATATGTATATGTTATACGGGATATGCTATATGAAATGTGTCATATGATATAAGAGATTGTTAATAAAGCAAAAAAAGGGGGGATTAAAGCAAAAAAATATAACATAATCTAAGCTAGAGGTTACCAGAGCGAAGGCAACAGAAGTTAGGCCAGGCTTAAACTTGGCCCTCCGGATGTTTTTGGCCTGCAACTCCCATGATTCCTAGCTAGCAGGACCAGTAGTCAGGGATGATGGGAATTATAATCTCAAAACATCTGGAGGGTCAAGTTTCAGGAAGCCTGAGTCAGGCTATCCCTGTCCAGCCACCAGCCAAAACTGATGGATGGCACTTTGCACCATCAAGGCCCCAAGGGACAGAACTGAATCCAGATGTATCCCCAATAGAGTGGGTAAAAATCAATGATTTTTTTAAAAGGGGGGGGTATTTCACATTTTTTTGATTTAAATCAAATTTAAATTTTAAATTTAGATTTAAATTTTAAAATTTAAATTGGATTTTTAAAAATAAAATTCCTTTGGAGGAAAAATATTTCTAAAGATAGTTTCCTATTTAAGTTACATTATAGTCCAAAGGCTATTCATCAGGAAATAAGGATTTGTTTTAAGTTTTTCATGTGTGCTATAACTCAGTCTTAAGGTTTTTGGGGGGTAGGGTGGGGAATGTATAACCACATCAGTTAACAAACATGGATACATATGCTATAATGTTATTGTTTTAGTTAAATTGTTTAAAATGTTATTAAGGAAATGACTATTTTTCTCCTTCCAATAAAGTACAGCAGAAAAGCTGTCCAAATATAAAGAGTTAACTTATTAAACCTCATAATTTCATAATTATTGCTCTATGTCTTTTTAATAGTATAACTAAATCAGTAATTTTTGATATAACTGTAAAAAATACTCTGAAAATGTATTATTCCAAAAATGAAACATTCATCTGGTTGTAAATACAGTGGTACCTCGGATTAAGTACTTAATTCGTTCCAGTGGTCTGTTCTTAACCTGAAACTGTTTTTAACCTGAAGCACCACTTTGGCTAATGGGACCTCCTGCTGCTGCCACACCGCCAGAGCACGATTTCTGGTCTCATCCTGAAGCAAAGTCCTTAACCCGAGGTAATATTTCTGGGTTAGCGGACTCTGTAACCTAGAATCATAGAATCATAGAGTTGGAAGAGACCACAAGGGCCATCGAGTCCAACCCCCTGCCAAGCAGGAAACACCATCAGAGCACTCCTGACATATGGTTGTCAAGCCTCTGCTTAAAGACCTCCAAAGAAGGAGACTCCACCACACTCCTTGGCAGCAAATTCCACTGTCGAACAGCTCTTACTGTCAGGAAGTTCTTCCTAATGTTTAGGTGGAAGCTTCTTTCTTGTAGTTTGGATCCATTGCTCCGTGTCCGCTTCTCTGGAGCAGCAGAAAACAACCTTTCTCCCTCCTCTATGTGACATCCTTTTCTATATTTGAACATGGCTATCATATCACCCCTTAACCTCCTCTTCTCCAGGCATATGTAACCCGAGGTACCACTGCATTAAGATTATACCAGCAAGAATGAGTGCTTTAAAAAAAGAAAAGAAAAAAGAATTACTTACTAGTGATTTAAATCGTGATTTAAATTGATTTGATTTAAATCAAACCCACCCTGATCCCCAAGCTGCTTACCTGCAAAGTATACCCAGGCAGTTTGGGCTGTGAACCGGGGCAGGTGACAGGAGACAGCAGAAGAATCCTTCCTGTTTCCTTTTTTCCTTTTGCTCATAGGTAGCCGAACTCCTCTGCCAGATCATCCCAGCCTTTCCTTACTGTGTGACAAAGAAGAAATGGTGTTCATTCAGTTGCCTGGTCAGGTAGGAGATGGAAAAAAAACTTGGGATCTGGGAAGTGGTGTTAGCCAGGGCTTGAAAGGATCTGCTCCTTGATTCCCTTTCCAAGGATCTCTGCTTCCTTCGTAGAATCACAACAGATGGAAAGGGACCTGTGTTAAGGAAATGGTTTATTCTGACCATGTAAAAGATCCCCCTTTTTTTCCGAGATTGCAGCTGCAGGGAGTCCCAAGTTTTATGGCTGGGCGACTTTTTGTTCTACATTATTTATTGAAAAATAAAGAAGTACAAAAGTACAATTGCACAGAGTCATAAGACACGGAGAAGAAGTGTACATTACAAAAAAGTGTGGGGTGGGGGGAATTGTTAGTGTAGTTAACCAGACCTTACTCTAATATGGTACTTATAAAAATGAATCTTCAATCCAATTTTTAAAGGGAGCTCCATTTTTATTTTTCCAGTTCATCAACACCAGCAGTGAGAGCGAGGAGAGTCCGTTCATATTGCCCCTTTGTTAGATTCCATGTGTTGGGTATATCATTCAAAATGACATTTTCCTCTACAGTCATGCTGATTATCTCTATTACCTTCTGCCAAAAGTTTTTCAAGGTAGGACATTGTAAAGGTAAAGGGACTCCTGACAGTTAAGTCCAGTTGCGAACAACTCTGGGATTGGGCCCTCATCTCGCTTTACTGGCCAAGGGAGCCGACGTTTGTCTGCAGACAGTTTTTCCGGGTCATGTGGTCAGCATGACTAAGCCGCTTCTGGCGAACCAGAGCAGTGCACGGAAAACTCTGTTTACTTTCCCATCGGAGTGGTACCTATTTATCTACTTGCACTTGACGTGCTTTTGAACTGCTAGGTGGGCAGGAGTTGGGACCAAGCAACGGGAGCTCACCCCATCAGGGGGATTCGAACTGCTGACCTTCCGATCGGCAAGCCCTAGCTCTGTGGTTTACACCACAGCGTTGCCCGCGTCCCTTAGGACATTGTACAAACATATGTTTTAGGTAAGCTTAATCCCTGTCACATCTCCAGCAACTAGATGTCTTAGATAGTCCTTTCATAAACGAGCAGACTGGAGTCCAGTAAGTTCTAAATATTACTATTTGCATGAGTCTTAATTTGAGGTCCAGAGACATCCTGGTTATAGAATTTACCGTGTAGCAAGGTGGCTTAGCATGTGTGAGTCTCCCACAGTCATCCACATTTTTCTCAGTTCTGTGTTCAGAGAGAAGTGCTGTGTGTGTGAAAATGTAAACAAGCCACTGAACAGGAATGTTATAGGAAAGAGAGGAGACAAGAAGAGCTTGCTGCGAGAGATTTGCGGCCTAGGGCCCACGTACCTACGGGACCGCCTCTCCTGGTATGCCCCGCGAAGGACCTTAAGGTCCACAAATGACAACACTTTGGAGGTCCCAAGTCACAACGTGCTTAGATTGATCTCAACTAGGGCCAGGGCCTTTTCAGTATGGCCCTGACTTGTTGGAACGCTCTGTCCCAAGAGACTAGAGCCCTGCGGGACTTGATATCTTTCTGCAGGGCCTGTTTGGACTCAGTCTGACCCTTATGTTTCCCTCCCCTTGTGGTTTTGATGAGGCTGCATTTTAAATTGCATTTTAACCTGTATTTTAAATGGCTTTATTTTATTTTTTTTCCTATTATGTTTTTATTGTAATTTTATTGGTGTTAGCCACCCTGAGCCCGGCTTTGGCCGGAGAGGGCGGGGTATAAATAATAATAATTATTATCATTATTATTAGTAGTAGTAAGAGTCACAGAGAGAGACTCAAGAGCAAGCTGTTGGGCTTTAAAAACTGTTTAGAAGCTTAGAGATACCATCTTGTTTTATATGTGAAAGAAGGCACCAGGGTGGCACTGTGGTCTAAACCACTGAGCCTCTCGGGCTTGCCGATCGGAAGGTCGGCTGTTCGAATCCCCATGACGGGGTGAGCTCCCATTGCTCCGTCCCAGCTCCTGCCAACCTAGCAGTTCGAAAGCATGCCAGTGCAAGTAGATAAATAGGTACTGCTGTGGCAGGAATCATAGAATCATAGAATCATAGAGTTGGAAGAGACCACAAGGGCCATCGAGTCCAACCCCCTGCCAAGCAGGAAACACCATCAGAGCACTCCTGACATATGGTTGTCAAGCCTCTGCTTAAAGACCTCCAAAGAAGGAGACTCCACCACACTCCTTGGCAGCAAATTCCACTGTCGAACAGCTCTTACTGTCAGGAAGTTCTTCCTAATGTTTAGGTGGAATCTTCTTTCTTGTAGTTTGGATCCATTGCTCCGTGTCCGCTTCTCTGGAGCAGCAGAAAACAACCTTTCTCCCTCCTCTATGTGACATCCTTTTCTATATTGGAACATGGCTATCATATCACCCCTTAACCTCCTCTTCTCCAGGCTAAACATGCCCAGCTCCCTTAGCCGTTCCTCATAAGGCATCGTTTCCAGGCCTTTGACCATTTTGGTTGCCCTCCTCTGGACACGTTCCAGTTTGTCAGTGTCCTTCTTGAACTGTGGTGCCCAGAACTGGACACAGTACTCCAGGTGAGGTCTGACCAGAGCAGAATACAGTGGCACTATTACTTCCCTTGATCTAGATGCTATACTCCTATTGATGCAGCCCAGAATTGCATTGGCTTTTTTAGCTGCCGCGTCACACTGTTGGCTCATGTCAAGTTTGTGGTCAACCAAGACTCCTAGATCCTTTTCGCATGTACTGCTCTCAAGCCAGGTGTCACCCATCTTGTATTTGTGCCTCTCATTTTGTTCCGCCAGGCCAAACACATAGAAGTTACATGTGCTCTTGTTACAGTAGCTCTTGTTAGCTACTGTTGATTTTCATTTTCTGAATATGTTCTAAATACAGACAGGCCCCTTCTCTTTGTTAGCCACCCCTCCCAATTTGGTGTCATCTGCAAATTTGATCAGGATGCCCTTGAGTCCATCATCCAAGTCGTTGATAAAGATGTTGAATAAGACCGGGCCCAAGACAGAACCCTGTGGCACCCCACTAGTCACTCTTCTAAGGTAAATGGTGTTTCTACACACTCTGGCACTCATCACGGTCCTCCCTGTGCCAGTAGTGTTTTAGTCCTGCTGGCCACATGACCTGGAAAACTGTCTGTGGTGTGGACAAACGCCAGCTCCCTCGGCCTGAAAGTGAGATGAGCGCTGCAACCCCATAGTCGCCTTTGACTCGACTTAACCATCCGGGGGTCCTTTACCTTTACCTATACGTGAAATATGAACATATATTACTACGTGTGCGGAGGCAACATTCAGTGAATACTTTTAAACCTCCATATTGGAGGTTGCCCCTCAGTCATGGAAGCTTAAATTGAGATTCCTGGACTAGGGGACGCTTGGGGAGGTCCCATTCAAGCCTACAATTCTATGGGGCTATGTTTCTACGATGTGCTCTTCTTGCTTCACTGGAGTCCTGACCGCATAAACCCCAGCAACCCAACGGGTCATCAAGTCATGCAATGCCAGAATCACAGCTCTCTACGTCAGTTGCGAGGAGCAAATATTTTCTAACCCCCTTTTCTCTCCCCAGGGCTCACTGACCTTTGAGGAGGTGGCTGTGTTTTTCACGGAGGAGGAGTGGGCTCTGTTGGATCCTGGCCAAAGAGCCCTGCAGTGGGAGGTCACGATGGAGAATTATGGGAACTTGGTCTCTCTGGGTAAGGACCCCCTCTTCCCTTGTTAGGAGAAACTATGCAGCGCAGAGATGGTCAACAGTTGCCAGGCTATCCCGGACCAGAAGCTCATAGAACAGCGGTTCTCAACCTGTGGGTCTCCAGATGTTGTCGGACTACAACTCCCATCATCCCTGAGCTCTGGCCTTGCTAGCTAGGGGTGATGGGAGTTGTGGTTCAACAACATCTGGGGACCCACAGGTTGAGAAAGGCTGTCATAGAAAGTCTTCTGTAGCATCCTTTGGTGTCTGCTTGCCCTCTTTGATACCGGAATTTGAGTTTCTTTTCGTTCTCTTCATTTGGGCAAGACTTCAATTTTTTGAAGGGAGCCTTCTTGCCTCTAATAGTTTCCTTGACTGCTGACTAACCCTATCAAGTGTCCTCTCGGGTTTCTGAGAGGGATACCTCCAGTGTAGGAACCTCTTTTTATAATTTCTCCCAACAGCAGCAAGTGGGAGGTGGAGCAGGAAAGGGCTTTTGGTGTCGTCCTGAGATTGTAGCATATGCAGAAGCTAACCTCACATTCAGCAGGGCTTCGGGTAAAGGAAGGGGAGACGCTTGAAAACGATAGAATCGGAGAAGCAGAGCACTGGGCTCGATCCATAACAAGAATCTGCTTCTGCCTTGCATTTAAAACGCATTTTCTTTTTCTCCCTCCCCCAAAACAGGTAATAGGCAGAATAATGAGAATAATGGTGAGACATCCATGTTGACATCAGAGAATGAAGCATGGAAAGAGATGTTTGCCAATCAAGAAGCACCCCAAAAGTCAATGAATGGGGAAGAGAAATCCACTGCAACTCAGGACATTGATGTCCATGTACCCCTGAATTCGCAAGATCACAAAGGAAGCAGCAGGAAGTCATGTCCAGTACGTGGTGAACCATATAAGTATCAATCACAATCTAGTATATGTTACAGCATCCAGACAGAGGAGAAAGCATATAAATGTTTAGAATGTGGAAAGAGCTTCAGTCGTGGTGGGGATCTAAATGTGCACCAAAGAACTCACACAGGGGAGAAACCATTTACATGCATGGAGTGTGGAAAGAGCTTCAGTCGACGTGACCATCTTACTTTACATCAGAGAACCCACACAGGGGAGAAACCGTTTAAATGTATGGTGTGTGAAAAGAGTTTCAAACATGGTAAAAGCCTTACTGCACATCAAAGAACACACACATGGGATAAATCGTTTATATGCATTGAGTGTGGGAAAAGCTTCCATGAGAGTAGTGACCTTACTGAGCACCAGAGGACCCACACAGGAGTGAAACCTTACAAATGTATGGAGTGCGGAAAAAGCTTTAGCCAGAGTGGAGGCCTTGCTGCACATCAAAGAACGCACACGTGGGCAAAACCGTTTAAATGCATGGAGTGTGGCAAGAGCTTCCATAGGAACTGTGACCTTACTGTGCATCAGAGAACCCACACAGGAGTGAAACCTCACAAGTGCATGGAGTGTGGAAAGAGCTTTTGCCAGAGTGGAGGCCTCGCTGCACATCAAAGAACCCACACAGGGGAAAAACCCTTTAAATGTTTGGAGTGTGGAAAGAGCTTTAGTCGCAATTACCACCTTACTTTACACAAAAGAACCCACACCAAGGAGAAACCGTATCAATGTACACGGTGTGGAGAAAGCTTTAGTGGGAGTGATGGCCTGACTGTGCATCTGGGAACCCATGCTGTGGATAAACCCTCTAAGGGAATGTGAAAAAAAGCTGTAGTGGGAGCACTAAACTTACTTTATTACAGTCCAAAGACCCTCAAAATCAATTTTGAAAACAAAATATAGCAGAGATACAGGAAAAACATTGCTGGGCAACCCTGTTTAGGGAAGCTTTTAATGTTTGGTGCATTACTGTATTTTAATATTTTGTTGGAAGCCGCCCAGAGTGGTTGGGGAAGCCCAGCCAGATGGGCGGGGTATAATTCATTATTATTATTATTATTATTATTATTATTATTATTATTTATTTATCCAGAGCATGTCAATTTCTAATTCTTATTACCCCTGAGAGAAACTTTGCCACAGCCAGGATTATATTATTTATCTTCCAAGGAGATATTTGAGATAAAAGGTATCAGACTTACCAGATGAATTCACCAAGAAAACTTTGATGAATTGGTTCCTGGCTTGTTTATAAAGCCCACAGTGTAGTAAAATTTGTTTCGTACAGTTGACAGCCTGAAGACATAAACAAAGTCTATTCTGCAGCGGTTTTCAACCAGTGTGCCCTGGCACCCTGGGGTGCCGTGAAGGATGCTCAGGGGTGCCACAGGCAACACTGGCCTCCGTCTCTCTTTCCTTCGCTCCCTCCTTGGATGCCCTCTTGCATCTCTACCTCCCAAAGGCTTGCACAGCTGGTTGTGGCAGCAGCCCTGGCTACAAGCTCCCTAGGCGAATGGTCCCTCTGGGGCTGGCCAGGGGGCGCTGGGTGCCAGGAACTAAGGTGGCCTTGCAGTAAGCAAGCAAGCGGGCAAGGGAGCCCTGTCAGCTGGTTCGCCAGCCCTTGCTGTTGGGAACAGACCGACAAGTCCCACACCCCTGTGGTACATAAATGTACCAACCAAGCACGTACATAGATCAGCACAGGAAGACCGACCTGAAACCATTTTTGATTCCCAAACTGTCTAAATGTTTTCTCTGCAAGGGGGGGGGGGTCAGGGAGCCTTCCCATTGTCTCAGGAATTGAGTAATCAGCATTTTAATGGGTGACAGACTATCAGGAAAGGCAATCAGATAACCTGGCAGACAGGAAAAACACATTCAGATTTCTGCTGTAGACTGCCTTTTCTGTGATGTAGGTACGGTATGTGGGGGTGATCTTGTGTTACACCCCTTCTGTGATGTATGTATGATGTATGGAGGGGCGGTCTTGAGCTCCAGGGCAGGGAATTTAAAATGTATATATAAGGGCAGGCACACCTTGATTCTGGGGTCATCCTCCTTTCCTGCGTGTGAAGGGGGCACCCTGTTGCAACAGATCAATAAATATCAGGTTTACTAGTTGCTTTGCTTCTCAATATTCTCTGGTTGGCCTCTGTCATTTTCTCTTACCAATGGGGAACCTACGTAAGGACTCTATATGGTCTCTTGGGTACCCCATAAGGGAAAAGGGCAGATTTTTTGTTTACAACAGGAACCAGAATTGGCCTCCACAGTCACTTACGGACTCACTGTTGAGATCATGTTCATGGAAGACAATCTTACTCTGCTATGATGGGTGGTGAAAGAAGAGGAAAAAGAAAAAGAGAGTCATTGGAGCACCCCACAATTGCCTAACCTTGGCTCCCATAGGTTCCGGTCGGGGGTCACAAGCGAGAGACTTCAGCCAGGACATAGAAGCCAAACAGCGGCCCGGTGGCATGATCTTAATTGTTGCAACAAGACTTCCCACTACCCACAAAGATGAAGCAGCCAAAAGCCCCAAACAATGGATAGATAAGTATTTTAAAGTTTCCCATCATACATTTCCAGAAGCATCATCAATACATCATAGGTATGTCACAGGAAAGGTGTGGTCTCAGGTAGAACCTGAGATCCAGTGGTTGCCCCTGTCACTCAAATATAGTATTTCACACTTACTTCATCACAGTGCAAAGGAAAGCATTTACAGTTCCCTGGTCCTTAAAAGGTAAAGGGACCCCTGACCATTAGGTCCAGTCGTGGCCGACTCTGGGGTTGTGGCGCTCATCTCGCTTTATTGGCCAAGGGAGCCGGCGTGTAGCTTCCAGGTCGTGGCCAGCATGACTAAGCCACTTCTGGCAAACCAGAGCAGCACATGGAAACGCCGTTTACCTTCCTGCAGGAGCGGTACCTATTTATCTACTTGCACTTTGTGCTTTCGAACTGCTAGGTTGGCAGGAGCAGGGACCGAGCAACAAGAGCTCACCCCGTTGCGGGGATTTGAACCACCGACCTTGCGATCAGCAAGTCCTAGGCTCTGTGGTTTAACCCACAGTGCCACCCGCGTCCCTCCCTGGTCCTTGAGTCAAGTTAAATACACCCCTTTGTCTTGTCCCACTATGGGGTGGGTAGGCATGGTGAATGAGATGGTTACCTGTCTGACATGCTTGGGGCAGGATATCACCTTGGGAAGCCCCTGCAGCCATGACTGTACATCTCGGGGGATTATGCTGGGCTCAGTCACCTCAACCCTTATACCTGCGTCCTACATGCCATTGGAACTGAGAAGATTCAACAATGTGATTTCTTATGAATTTCTAAAGTTTTCCCACTGAGCCAGAACATAAGATGCATTTATCAGTGAACTGCGACATTTGGGAATGTGCAGCGGAGGCTGTTGGTCCTTGCCTGGTAGTGTGGAGAGCAAGGCTGGGGGTGTCTCTCTCACTCCCCCTCCAATTCCCCGGTAACACATCCATCCCCCGCCGTTCTAGGATTCCACACTGAATTGCCTTCCAGTAGGTGACTGAGTTGCCACTTCCTTTTAGCTACTGACACCTAACTTGTAATTGTATCCTGAACTGCAGGATCTTGTTCTTTGGTGCTGTGATTCTCCTTGTGTTCATGAAAATGCGCTCTGGAGTTTTGCAGCCTGCAGAGAAGACCTTGCTCTTCATCCCTGGCGCCTTCGCTTCCTGGAGTAGCCAGGATTTTGTGGGTGTATGTGTGTGGGTGTGTGTGTGTGTGTGCAGAACCTCAGTTTCCTATGTATTTTTTCTAGATTTTTGAAATATACTCGGAGTCAAGAGTGGATTTCATGCTCTTTATTTAGCTCATAGTGGTGAGGAGGAATGAAAGTTCCCCCAAAGTATCTGCTTTATATACATTATTTACACAATGAGCTGCTCGTAATTGGCTAATTCCGGAATTCTCCTGTAGGCCAATCAGGTTGTGGATTCACTTCCATCTGGAGCTGAATTGGGTGGCTCCTGCAGACCAATCATACTGCTGCATTCTGAATCCTCTTGTTCTAGGACCAATCATACTGCTGCATTTTGGATCCTATTGTTCTAGGACCAATCAGACTGCTGCATTTTGGATCCTATTCAACTCAGTATCTAACAATTTTCATTGTTTGGGTGCAGCTGCCCCTCCCCCCTCTGTGCTCTTGAGAAGGCTGCGTTAACATTCAATTATTTAGTCATTTCAAAGTAGGGATCCAGATGCACACGGCAGAATGGTAACAGGGAACCCCCACCTCCCTTGTCGTCAGTCAGCCTAAGATGGGGGGGCCTAGATGCAGAGTCCTTGGCCCAGATGGAGAAGGGAGGGCAGCCCCTAGAGCGCAGAAGCAGGCAGGCAGGGAGAGGGAGGAGCGGTCTCAGTCCCCTCGGCTTGCCAAGGGTTAAAAGGAGCAGAGCGGGATTCCTAGAGAGGACAGGAAGGGGAGGGCGGGGGAGGGCAGGGTCCTCCAGAGCAGAAGCCCCTCCCTGCCCAGTCCCTTCCTGCAAGCAAAGAGGAGGCTGCTTTGTTCTCTCTGCTTTGCAAAAGCTTCCTCGGTGCGCCTCCTGGAATCTGGTGAGTCTCTTCTCTCTTCCCCCTTGGGGTGCAGCGGGGAGAAGGGGGTCCCAGGGCTGCAAGGGAGGAGGCAAGGGGCCCCCCGTTCAGCTCATGCGTGGAGGGGGAGACCCCCAAGTCAGGGAGCAGAGGGTCCTGCCCCCAGTTCCTCTCTGCCAAGCCAGGGAGGGGCTGAGTGTCCAGCAGGTCTGCAACTCTGTTCTTCCTTTGGATCAAGATGCTGCCTTCCTTTTTGGGGAGGAGTCCTTTTTGGGGGAACAAAAAGAGGGCATGCAAATAAGCCCCCTTCAGATTGAGGGGAAAGTCGCATTTCATAACACAGAGAAGCATCCAAGGACTCCGAGGAAGGAGAAGCCCTGTGGAGTGGGGAGATACAGCCCCCCCCAAGTGTGGAGACTGGAGGGGAGACCCTCTCCCACGATCTACTCAAATACATTTCCCAGAGTTCCCTGGCAAGAAGGGGGGATTGGAGACCACTCTGGGAATTGCAGTCTTTGGGCAGCAGGGCTGAAGCTGTCTCCTTGCAACTCTCAGGGTCCTGAACCAATTCTGGCTCCCAGGATTCTTGGGAGGAGTCACTAGGGCCAGGTGAGATCTGGTTTCCAACCTTGTGATGGATCAGCAGCTAAACATCTGCCCCCTCCCAGCTGAGCCAGTGCACAGAGTGGCATGTGCCACTCTTGGGAGCAGGAGCTGCATCCAGCCTTGCTCAGCTCAACATTTTTAGGAAGACAAAGCCCCTTCTGCCCTGGCAAGGCACTGGGGTGAAGCTGCAACGCCATCAGCATCCTGTGTGAATAATAATAATAATAATAATAATAATATTTACCTGCCAGCCATCTGACTGGGTTTCCACAGACGCTCAGGGCGGCTTCCAGCACATATAACATACAGGGCTGCCTTCAGGTGTCTTCTAAAGGTTAAATAGTTACTCATCTCTTTGACAACTAATGGGAGTGTGTTCCACAGGGAGGGTGCCACTACCAAGAAGGCCCTCAGCCTGCTTCCCTGTAACTTCTCTCCTTGCACTGAGGGAACCGCCAGAAGGTCCTTGGTGCTGGACCTCAGTGTCCAGGCTGAATGATGGGGGTGGAGATGCTCCTTCAGGTATCCTGGGCCGAGGCCGTTTAGGGCTTTAAAGGTCAGCACCAACACTTTGAAAGTAGATCCTTTAGGAGCGGTCTTACATGGTTCCAGCAGCCACTCCCAGTCACCAGTCTAGCCTCCGCATTCTGCAGAACACTAAGTGAACGACACAGAAGTTGCTACTAATGGTATAAGGATATGGAATTAAGGGAAAAGATGGTCGTGACCTGGAGTGGTTACAGAATTTCTGGTCTCTCCCCGAGTGCCACGGGCCCTGCTCCAAAGAGAGCTTCTCTAAAGAAAGCACAACCAAAAATCACTCCATTTTGCGTGAATGAGGAAAATGAGGAGGTGGCTAAGAAACAGCAGGAGCCAGATCCTATTCCCAGCCTTCTAGGGTCTCTCAGCAGCTCTAATGATGAGCAGAAATAGGTTTGGGGCCCAGCCAGCTCAACTGCTAAGTCATCTCTTGCATTGAGATGTGGGGGCACCTACATGTAATAGCTACTCGGCTGTATTCTGCCCATGCTCTGGGGCTGCAGTTTTCAGGCTTGGGGACAGGATGGTGCCTGGTTTTTGCACCAAGTTCTATCCATAAGCCCCTCTGAGTTCAATGGGGTCTACTCAGGTCACTACTGTGCATACCATGCCAGCCTTACGAAGTGGGGTGAGGTGCCAACAGATTAAATTGGAATCACTGGAGATGTTTCAAATGGGGTTTCTGTTGGGAAGGGGCTGCCCCATTTGTGCTTCTCCAGGAGCAGGGGAATATCTAGGGCAGGAGAATTCCTGCAGGGCCTCTGAGGCTCCCTTTGTTTCTTCCTCTCTCCCAGGACCCTGCAGCTTGTGGTGGCTTCTCGACTCCTCAGGAAGGATGAAAGAGACTGAATCTGTAAACCTGAATCTGAAAGAGACTGAAGGGGGAAGATGGACAGTTGACCTGGTCAGGTTGTCTCCTGCATCCCTCCTCACAGCCTCTGAGCGTTCCCTCCCAGGGACCTCCGAGATATCTGGTGAGTCCCAGGGGAGGGGAGATGGGGACATGAATGGATGGGGCTGGAGAGGTACTGGGGCTTGCTCAGCTTGGGGGTGGGATGAGGCAGGCAGGAAGATGGAGATTGAGAAGGTGGGCACCTTTTTGGGCTCCTCCACCTATCTGCCTTCCTTCCTGCGCCTTTGGCATCTGCGGGGAATTTCAGCTAGGAATACGTCACAGCTCCCCGGCCACCGCGATGTATTGGTGCCAGTACTGTGCTCTGAATGCCCTCCCAGTGTCAGAGATCCATCACGCAGCACTAGAAGCCATGATTCTTTAAATTACTTGATCCTAATTTCAGGATTGACTGCAGATGGGGCCTCTGTGTTTTGCCTTTTTCTTTTCTTTTAGGAATAACTTCTCATTTTCTTTTAAAAGCAAGGATGCATTACATTCTTTCTTTTTTAAATTTTTATT